TTGTTTCGACGTAGATAATTTAGAACATTGCTTTATGTCATGCTTTTCTATCAACATGCTTTCGATTTTTCCACTTTTATCAGACTGCCTCTCGAACTTTTAAGTGATTCGTAAAAGGTTGATAATCCTTTTAAAATTCTGCTTTTGGTACTATGTTCTGACATACTCCTGCTTATTAATTTCTTCCGATTGTATAATTCTTTGACAGCTTTCAACACAGAAAAAACGTTTTCTTGACTAAAGTTATATTTGCTGTCCCTTTTGATAATCTTTCATTTTTCTTATCATGTAATTTTGTATATTATTAGAATGTTGAAGGCAGATGTTGCCCTTCGAGTTCCTTGAAGTGGAATCTCCATTTTCGAGAAACGTTTTCGAAAAGAAGTGCGGGGCTCCATTTTTCCCTCCGCATATGCGTGACTATGACGTTAATGCATAATATGTGCAGTCGCCATTCCCGAACGATTAAATTCCACAGAACGAAATCACAGCGGTTTGCCGCGTGGCAAATGGCGAAAAAACGTTATTCCACATAATAGAAAACTGAGCCTTTCAACAAAATTGCATATATCTCGATAGTTTGACATTCGATATGGAGGCGCATTGAACAAAACTGCAAGCATGAGTCACAACATCTACCAATAGTACAGATCTGGTTTTTGGCTTTGTATGCGCGAAATGTGAAATACTGAAACATTTTTGATGATCTTGTTTTCTGCTTGCTAATTTCTTTTAAAGAAAACCTTAGGACCTAGCAAATATTGATTTTTCTCTAGGAACCAAATAGACGGGCTTCATATCTGCTACCTGTATACTTCGAAGCGAGATCCTATCAATTCTTACAATTCTATTCCAAACATATAGACGATTGAAACTCTTACCGAAAAAATTACCTCGAGCAGCAGTACCAAAATTTCCACCAAAATTAGCTCGAATCATTGAAACTATAGTCAGATGTTTGACAAATTCAGAAAATCCGCAATCAGCAACTTCGATTTTCTTGAGGACGATGTAATGAATTCACTTGGCCTGCAGTTCATGCTAATTCTGCTCACTAAGTCCTCTCCAATAATTTTTAATTACAAACTTAATGCACTGGCTTGTTGAAGTGCGAAAAGAATTCACAGATAATTTGAAGTGCGTCAAATCTTCAATTGTCGCATATTAAGCCGATATTATTTTAAGCAATTTGATATTTTTCTTTTCGTGTTGTCATCAAAATACAGGTAACAAACAGTGTGCAAATACACTCCCGAAGTTTTCTTCGCAAAATAAGTTTTTGCTATAGCTGAAAAATTTCGAATTTTTAGGGAGGGTGAGAAAGAGAGGGAGGTAGAGTCTAAGGCATACCATAAGTATTGTGAGCTGATTACTCAAAAATTTGGGGTAGAAAAAGCTTTTATTCAACAAGAAATCTCGGACGAGTGCAATTAGTCATTTTCGAAACCTAAATTTTGCTCAATCAAGTTATTGCCGATATTTGTATGCGCAATCAATGCGATGTTCGTGGATGACTCAATTGATATTCCTTTTTTTTGCGTCAAGAAAAACTTCTCGCGGGTATGACTAACCACCTAATTTTTTCTGGTTGAACTGATTTTTTGGACTGTTTACTACGAGACAGCATTTCCATCAATCCTTGTCATTTCGACACATTTTTCTGTTCGAATTCTCCATAACATCGATTCCCGGCCATTGTTTACAGACATCTTGTCTGACTCACATTAGGCGCTCGCTCGTTCGCTCGGTCTTCGGTTCGCTATGTGTTTCATGACGTGACCCCCCCCCCCCCGGCCAACCTCAAAACTCCGCCTTGTTCCGGATCTGCTCGAGTGCGTTCGCATTTTGCTCGCAGTTGGCACATCTCGTGACAGCCATTACTGTTGTTTTGCGTTCTTACCCCTCCTCCCCCCCGGGCAACAATTGTTTCCAGGCAAGTCTCTCCAACACATTGCCTCTCTCTAGCATTTATTTCTTTTCTCAAGCTATCAACACTCGCTCCTATCGATTTTCCTCCGGACTATGCCGGTTCTGCCGAGGCAGAAGTCTCGCTTTCGGGCGCTACACATTAAGTGTCTAGACAGGGGGGGGGGGGAAAGGGCGTCGTGACATCGGCAGCGATGTTTTGACATGATGTTACATTGATTGTTTAGCTTTTAGCCGAATGAAATGACACTGATATATGTTTTTGACTCGAAATATCTCTATTCAGAAGCGATTCTGCACTTGCCCCCGACTTTGTTTACCATTTGTTGGACATTCATCCTAAGAACTTGGCGAGCTGCCAAAGAAAAGACGTTATTTGCGACAGATGCCATCTGCATGAACTTGGCTTCTTTCGATCCAGTCTGTCTTTTTAGAAAAATTCTCTTTTTGAGGGGGAGGGCGAAAACCACAAGAATGCTGCAGTCGTAATTCTGAAGCGCGGATTGCTTTTCAAAAGGATTTGCGAAATTTTATTTCGGCTATTCTTTGTTTTTTCATGGAAATCTTTGTGCAAGCTTTCTTTGAATCATTGCTGAATCATGGCTTCATTCTCAGCTGGTTGTTTTCTTTCTGCTTTTTTCGTTCTTTATTCTCCTCTTTTCCCCCTTTTCCCCTTTCTCCCTCCATAGATTGAATTATCAGTTTTGGTTCTGCGAGTAAATAGACTCATTTTTTGGTTTCGCAAAATAATCCTCTTTCCCGCGGTCCATGAAAAATTTATGTTCCCAAATGCGATATTGCCTCGCTCGGAAAACTCAAACATGCGGGTAAAAGTGCAGAGAACGATAACATTCCGAAGGTTTGCTCATTCTATTACACAGCCTTTGTTGTTAGTTTCACTTTTTTGGGCCGCGTTTTCTTATCATAGCATTTGCTTGTTTACACTTTGTTTTTTGTTTTGTTTTTTTTTCGTCATGCTTTTTCGCTGTTATCAAATGACTCATTGCTACATTGAGTGCTATAAATGACTTATTCTTTTTTATTTCTCAGAACCGTGATTCAAAGAATCCCCGATGGTGACTCACATTCAAATGCTTGATCAAAAAAGACGAATGACAATCATTGATAGTTCAATGGGGTATTATTGTGATCCCAAAAAACTGGCGTGAAAAGTCGAAAGTGTAAAGAACCTACCAAATGACGTGAATTTACACAGATTAGCACTGATCGTATAAAGCGTAGAGTTTGCTTGAGATAGATATCATTTTTATTTGAAATATTGGAAATAAAAATTTTGATGCTCGATTAATCTAATAAGACTTATAAATGAAAGAGTTTGGTTTCGTGAAGGAGCTTTTTGATTTATGAATATTTTTTGTTCATTTTGTCGAAAAGGGTTTAAAAAAAAGTTTAATAACTAAAACCCAAGTTCTAAAACTTTCTTTAGAAGTACATTCCCATGACTATCCAGTAGTCTCAAAAAGTAATAGAAATCGCCAATTCAATGGTTGCTAGGTAATGGTGATTCAGTCAACCTTTATTTTACTGAGCCGCGCAGTCACATAATTTTGTTAGCCACATTTCAAAATTATCTTTAAATTTTAGCCAACCAGATTGCTAAGCAACAAGTTTCACATTCGTGTCTCATACGCTATGCTATAAATAACATGGTTGTTTTCATCATTTGCCTCAGCCTGGCGCATGCGAAAGTGCCCTTTCATACATACTTGCTTGCTTTCCGATGACTCACCTCTTGATCGAGGCTACACTTCAAAAAATATTTTGTACTAATTGAAGTCATCATGTAGTTTCGCAATGGTTCATATTCTAGAATGTTATACGCGCGAGGTTTATATACGAAATCTATGAGGTTGGGTGTGGCTGACTCAGTATGCCTGAATCTGACTCGAAGCCTCAAAATGTTTCGTTTTCTCTTGATTTTCAAAATTTCCTTTGCTGTAGTTGTGGTTGAAATCTTCAATTTCTTCGAGGCAATACGCGAAACTCTGAGTAACTTGAAAAATCTTCCACTGCTGTTTAATAACGCAATTTTGCATTTTTGCTACTGCTTGGTCACACAGAATCGACTTGAATCTTATTAAAATTCAAAATTCGGTACTCACTCTTGGCATTCTGAATATTTCCGACCAGTGTTTGAGCATCTTAGTGTAAATGTTATACTACCAACAATTTCAGAAACTTCCAGTATAGCTATAAGTATTGTCTCTTGAGGGTTTTAATCTCGCTTGAAAATGCAAAGTCGTTTCAAAACGCGCTGCTTTTTCTTACCTCAGTACTTGGGCAGCGAGGAAAGCATGAAAGGCTTCTATGGCGTCATAACTCCTTTGTATATAGTATTTTGTATATTTTTTTCGAAATAGCATGGGAGAACAGAGAAATTACACTGTTGCTTTGTGGTTCACGTCACTTTGCCCAGCTAAATTCTGCGGAATCTTGTGTTTCTCTCTTTTGATCCGTGACACTTTAGCTTTCGGTCTTATTTTTATCAGATTGGTTGATACCGTATCAGTTGTTGCGAGTTAAATGTGCAATAACTCAAGGCATTCAGGAAAAAACTTGTTTTTTATTGTAAATAATTCACACTAACAGAGATGAATTGTTTTGGCTCTGTATAAACACGAACTGAGTCGTAAATTTACAGAAACCATGTTTATTTTCAAACTTCTTGCTTTAACTAATAAACCAGTAATCTAAAGGTGCTATTTGTAAGAACGTTCGCTTTGGGACCCGCTACGGTTTCCTGCTATTAGAAGATTTTTGAATTAAGCTACGATTCTTTATATATTAGATTCATATACATGCCTATTTCCCTTTTTTAGCTGAGATTCTGCTGTTACCCGCACAGTTTTTTTTGTTGAAATTTAAAGCGCAAACAAAATCGCATGCATAAACCTCCAGAATCACGGTTTGCCATTCCTAGATTAAATTATCTTGAAATCAGATTTTTTGTTGTTGAACAGACCCTCAGAGCGTAATGAACAAAGTCCATAAAAAAAGGACTGCGAAAGCATGTTCTTATGACACTTATCAGTGTGTTTTCGGTATGAATAGCAAAGCAAATACATTGGTTAGTCGACTTGAATTGCCTTCGCTGCTCCTCGCTGCAAAATGTATCGATGTGAGTCTGTTTTCCTCGCTTTCGTTAAGGTTCATTTCTTTTTTCTGAGGTTCAAGTTAATTAGACATTGCAGCGTCTTTTGCCAGGATTGAAGCTAATGAGCTCACTTTGGAAAGAATTTTTTTCGAAATCAAATCGATTATCAAGGAATTTTGTTTCTTCATCTGCATTCAGAAAGTTTGGTGTCTAGACAAAAGAAAATTTTCTTGGGATTTTGTAAAACGTCATTACTCAGATGTTCTGGCAAGCCTTCACCTTCTAAAAAATTTTGAGCCTCATATAACATGGTCCCAAAAATGGCCTTGTGTCTAGTGTCGATGGTTTTTTTATTCTATTACATAGCAAACGTTTTGTTTGCCTGAATAGATCTCCGTACATAATTTCAGTTTGTTACTCATATTATGAAATTGGGATTCCAGGATTTTGGGTTGATCGTTTTTCCAAACTTTGTTTTCCGGCCTCAAATTTGCGCAAAACTTGGCTGTAATCATACTGACGATATTGCGACAAAATATTCCTCCAACATTTTTGCTGATCTACAAAATAATTACTCTGATAATTTAAATAATTAGTTATATGAGAGCTCCCTGATATTTCGACTTTGAGATTAATATTTTTGTTCTAATAGAACCTCTTATTTTTTCTCATCTGAGTGTGACACAAAACGCCTCAAATTGCTAACGCTTTTCACGAAATTGTGAGATGTGGCACTTAGAACAGCCTCAAAATATGGTTTTGCTAACTCTATAGACGAGTAACGGAATTAGACAGCAGGGGAAAATCCCTGCACTTCATGATATCTTGAGTCAACTCAGTACAATAGATGGCTAATTACGCGTCATTTATACTTTTTCATCGGAGGGTATATCGACTAAAAACCGACCTTTATGTGCACGTTATTTTTTGCGTTGCTATGCCAACTAGACTCTCTGACAATTGACTAAGCTTTCGATTCGATAGCCCTCGCTCGTTTCGACAAAACATTCGTTTTTACCCAACTCTATGGGTTGCACCAGCTGCTCCGCAATCACCGATATTGGTAGGGTGTTTTTATCAATTTATTGATCGTCGGCTTTACAACTAGATGTCATTCTGTTCAAAAGGATAATCGTTGGATAGCTGTAGTTAAATCTCGTGATTAGTCGTCTACTTCACCATTTTGAAGTGGCAGTTTATGGCAGTTGTGAATCCAAAATATATCCAACTAGCTGGCTTACCCGGCTCCGCCGTATCCGGACCAAACTTGGCACACATACACTTCGGGCTCCGGCGGGTGTCACAGTCCACTTTTCGTTATCGATCGATGTCGATTTTACCGATTTTTATCGATTTTTTCGCAGAGTTCACCTACAGGGCTAGGAGTTGGCACAGGGGGGAAGTGAGCATGGGGATTCCGAATACAATATTAGTTTTCAGAATTATCGGTTACTTTTGTTGATTTTCTCGATTTTTTGTAAATTTTGACATGCGAGGCTGGGATTTTGCACAGGGGGGTAATTGAGCATGCTGATTACGAACACAATATTAGTTTTCAGGATCGTCCATTACTTTTATCGATTTTATCGATTTTTTTTGTAAAGTTTGACCTGCGGGGCTGGGAGTTTGCACAGGGGGTAATCGAGCATGCAGATTACGAATACAATATTAGTATTCAAGATCGTCCATTACTTTTATCGATTTTATCGATTTTTTGAAAATTTGAGCTAGGGGGCTGGAATTTGGCACAGGGGTGTAATCGAGCATGCTGATCACCCCCCCTTGGGGATGATCAGCATGCTCGATTACCCCCCTGTGCCAACTCCCAGCCCCCTAGCTCAAACTTTGCAAAAAATCGATAAAATCGATAAAAGTAATCGATAATCCCGAAAACCAATATTGTATTCGGAATCCCCATGCTCGATTACCCCCCTGTGCGAACTCCCAGCCCCGTAGCTCAAACTTTGCAAAAAATCGATAAAATCAATAAAAGTAATCGATAATCCTGAAAACCAATATTGTATTCGGAATCCCCATGCTCGATTACCCCCCTGTGCCAACTCCCAGCCCCGTAGCTCAAACTTTGCAAAAAAATCGATAAAATCAATAAAAGTAATCGATAATCCTGAAAACCAATATTGTATTCGGAATCCCCATGCTCGATTACCCCCCTGTGCCAACTCCCAGCCCCGTAGGTGAACTCAGCAAAAAAATCGATAAAAATCGATAAAATCGATATCGATCGATGACGAAAAGTAGCCTATGACACCCGCCGGGGCCCGTAGTGTATGTGTGCCAAGTTTGGTCCGGATCGGTTCAGAAATGGAATTTTCTATTCGGAACATACGTACACACATACATACAGACATACATACATACAAACAGACATTCAGCTTTATATATAAGATGTATATTAATCATAGGCTTTTTCGTTTTCGGAATTTTCTTTCTCATCAGAAAGTGTAATTTTCAAACGATAATATAACAACTTTCACTGTCCTATTTTTCATTACTACAAAAAATGCTGTTTGTTGTTTTTCCGGCAATCTGGCTAGCGGAGAATCTAGACGAACACTGTTCTGTATATTGGCATCTGATATTTGTCATAAATACCTCGTACTTCTTGAAGTAAACTGTTTATATATCTTGATGTGGCCGAATTTTTTACAACAAATATGATGTCAGCGTCTGCAATGAAAACGATAGTTTACAATGGCTATGTGATTTGTTTTGCCAAAAATGTTCCAACAATCAGTTATTATTGAAATGTATTGCGGAAAACCATCAAAAATATACCACTTGCTGCATGTCTGTCACCAATGTGCTACAAAGTTCTAGTGACTGGTCCTTTTGTAATTTCGAGCAAACCTTTTCGTGTAAATGTGAGCAAAACGGAGTGCGTTCCGGGGGAATCGAACCCCCGTCGAATGCTTGGAAGGCATCCATGGTAACCATTACACCACGAACGCTGACGGAGTAATGCACGAAACGACTTTATTCATAGTCCTTTGATTACCAGACTTCTAATGAACGGACTACTTTCACCGATCTTCACTTCCCTCGCATGGCACAAATTTTTTTACAAAAATTTGTGCCATGCGAGGGAAGTGAAGATCGGTGAACCACTCGCATATAATTCAAAATCAAAATCGAAATTTTTTCCACCTCTAAAGTAGGAAGTTTATTTTTGTATCTCATAGAAAACATTTTTCAGTACCTGCCTCTGTTCGTTCGAGAAACTTTTTTTAAATCGCTTTCATGTACTCTACCACCTTTTTGGATTCATCCACAATTTTCATTGCTTTCTAAGTACATAGTGATCTGTTCGGTGTTCATTTTTCGTCAACAATGTCATGTATTAAATCATTTTCTTCTAGACATGGACCCACGTCGAGTTAAAGAAGGCGATGTTATGAAATATAAGACCGGATTTCTGAGCAATAAATGGAAAACGTATCATGCAGTATTGTTCAGTGATTCGAAATTCTGTTGGTACGATGAGAAGGTTTGTTAATTATTTTAGGATTGACAGCTAAAGCTAAGGTTAGGTTTTAACAATAATAATCTCAGGGAGACACCAAGCCTAAAGGGTGTGTTCTTCTCAAGGATGTTGTACCATACATTTGTGTTGGTCTGATGACAGATAGAATGCCAGGTAAATATTTTTTGAAAATTTTTGTGTTCTCGTAGCTCAGTCTGATGTATCAATTTTTATAATTCTTTATTTCAGTAAAGTCACCTACCCTACCAGATGGATACTCTAAGCACCATCTCGTCGGCATTGGCATGGACCCAAGAGCTGAGACCGTACATTGGATTCTGTTCTCATCTGATGCGGATATGGAGTTAGTTTCATGTTTTTGATTGTTGATCTTCATTTATGCAAAAATTACTTGGGTTCTAATATGCTAATTTTTCCAGATCATGGGTTACCGAAATTACAAAAACGTTACCGATAGTTAATCCACAACCACAACCTCAACCTGCACCACCAGGCGGTGTACCCGCTCAACCATCTTCAGGTGGTTACGGTAAGTACACACTCATGCAAATGCGGATCCGTTCAAAAATTTCTTTTTTAGTTCCTCCCGCCAAGTATCCTGATGCTCCTCCACCAGTGCAGCCAACTCAACCTTATCCTCAGCCAGTTCCCGTAGGTGGTGGAGCACCTATGGGCGGAGGTGGAGCACCACCTCCACCGTACTATAGCCAGGGATCAGGCGGCTATGGAGGCGGAGGGCCTCCTCCAGCTCCTGGTCCTACGACCGTCATAATCGATAGAGGTTGGTTTTAAGTTTTGTTTTAGTTGAAGCGGATTTTAACTTTCCGTTACAGGAGGCGGTGGTTACGGTGGCGGCTATGGCGGAGGCGGCCTAGGCGGCTTTGGCAGCGGTTTACTCGGCTTCGGTACCGGTATGTTGGCTGGATCATTGATGAGCCATGGATTGGGCTCAATGTGGGGAGGTCACGGTATGGTATATGGTGGTGGCATGGGTGGTATGGGTGGCGGCCTCGGCAGCTATTATTCGGTAAGTCTGTTTGCTTCCACTTTTCCAAATCTTGACCGGTAATTCTTTTATTTTCAGGATAACGACACAAACATCACTAACAACTATTACAATTACGATCCCAACAGCTCTACCGGAGGAGGCGCAATCGACTCCACTTCATCGCAACCGGCAATAACGGAAGTTCCAGTGAGTCCTGGGCAGATTTTTCATTTTTTCTCCTCAATTACTAATCCGCTATGCTACATCCGACTCACTGCCTTTCAACTCCTGGCATCTCAATGAGTTATCTCTCTTCTGCAGCTCCTCAAATGCACACTTTTATATAATCTTTTCTCTACTAGATTGGCGACTAATCATATCTGCGACATTAGTGATAATTTTCTTGAGTTGTGATTAGAGTTTATTCGCTCTTTTCAAATGATTTTCAGAGGGGTCGTACTTGGCGAATGAGAAGGTCTATAAAAATTCATACCAGAGATTGGCGATATCGTAGCTCGGAAATCATGAAGCATCTCTAATCTTATTGCTCCTCACCTAATGCTAATGCAAGGTTGTATCAAGGGTAGAACAGGCAGTTCTTTATAGGCTATTTGGTTCCAAGTTTATAAAAAATGCGAACCAGTGAAAAGGAAAGAGTACAGCACAGTTCTTTATCTATTCACAGCAGGAACAATCTGCACTTATTATCGTTCAATTTCTTTGGCACGTCATGCTCCGTAATGATCTCCTTATCAAGCAGTTTTGAATGTATCTATTTGAGGCTTAATTTACAGTTCTTTTTTTTCGTCAGAGGATTGAAAACTCGTCGTTGTTCCTGCTTTTTTTCTGCTTTAAAGGTTTAGATGCCAGGCTAAAACAAAACTTTTGTACCCTGCTAAAGGGTTAGGTCTCGCTTTTATCACGAGAACTGAAAAATAATTAGAATCTAGCGAGTTAGAATCAATCGAGTTGGAATTAAGCGCGCGATTGTATAGGTCGGACTACGCATTAAAATTCTCATATCACATGCCCCGCGGCCATCGGCAAAGCATTTTGTTCTTAGGATGATGATGCTGGTTATGCTTACCCCGGTGCTGACAGCGATTACGTTGTCGATGACGGCGGTGACAACGCTGCCGTTGACATTGGCGGTGCTGACATCGGCGGTGCCGATGATTATCAGGTATTCGAATGAGTGTGAAGTGCACATGTTGTCGTAGCAGTCAGTCAATGTCCAAACCCAGTTGCTTTTTTCAAAATTCTTGCGCTATCTTACCTAGGGCAGCCTCATAAGGTGATAGTCTGGATAAAGTGGTCAACTCATACAAGAAGCCAGCATTTTGATTTATGGGAGTCATATTTGTTATTGAATGTCTTGGGGTTTACATAGATTTCGCAGCTGGACCGAGGAAAGCTGTAAAAGAGCACAAGGCTTACCTTCGAAACACCAATATTGTGCTTTTTTGCTCACGTACCTCCTCTTATGTTTACAGATTTGACTTTGAACCTAACCCATTGGGTTGGGCAAAGATCTGCTCTAGCTTATCTCAGTTTTCTCAGCACAATACCACGGGTTTACCTCTCCTTCTTTGATAGCCATCCATCTGACCTTTGTTCTTTTACAGATAGCTCATGCTTGCTATTAAAGTAGCTACTAACCATATGCTTACTAATCAGTGTTTCAATAAAAAAAAACGATGCATTATTTTCTTGCTGTTACTCGGCTACCCGGATTCCAAATTTTGTAACTGCGGATTCCGCTTGATTTTGCCCTACGGGGGTTGCCTGACACGCTGGTAACGAATACCCATAGGCCGTTCTTTGACTGTAACAGGTATACGATAAGAGTCAATGTCAGTTGGCTGAAATTCGATTTTATTCGACTTTGGTTTTATTCGTCTCAAAGGTACATAGGGTGCATTTTCTCAAAATTCCGGTAGGTGTACGGTATGGGCTGATTTGGACTAATGACGTTATTCTAAGCAGTGAACGTGATATTCGTGGTCAGCATGTCAGATGACTTTCGGGGACCACTTTTGAACATGCATGGTTTTAGAACCTCGGAATCTGGATAGCCGAATAGCCAGGGCTCGGCACGAGGTGGCTAGATGAAAATGGAAAAAACGAAGTCCCCCCTTGACTTTTGGGAATTTTTACGAAGTCCCCTTTGGCCCTCAACCAAATTTCCTTTAAAAATCTGAAAATTTCCCCAAAATCCCCCAAAAAACGAAACGTCGAGTAAAAAAAAATCGCCGTCGCCAATTTTCCGTGTCTCTTCGGTCACAAAAACGAAACCCCCTTTGCTTTTCGTCCCAAAAAACGATACCAGCTGGCTTACAAGCCACCTGTGCCGAGCCGTGCGAATAGCGCTTATCGTCAATATTCATACTTGTCAAAAGATTTGCTGTACTGCTGTTATTCATCTTCAAAAGTTTTCTTTACAGAATGATATCGGCGGTGGTGATCTCGGCGGTTACGACTATCCTGGAGACACTGGTATGTAGCATATTTTTAAAGAATTTTAATCTGTTTTTATGTTTTCACCCCAGTCTACAAGCTTTAGGTGGTGGATTCGACTATCCTGGTGCCGATGATTTCGGTGGCGGAGACTTTGGCGGCGGCGATTTTGGCGGTGGTGACATCGGCGGCGGTGATCTCGGCGGATTTGATTTCTAAATATGCTAGTCGTCCAAAATTATCCAATTCTATTGTCCGCACATCCCCGTGATCTACGCGATATTTGCAACATGTATTTGTTCGAGTATCTGTCATTTTTTTGTTTACTATTGCATGCGAATGTGAATTTGGCGGAAGGCTAAGAATGAATGTACAGTGTACATAAAAGCATCAGATGTGCCATATTCTTTATGTAACTTCGATTTTTATTGCTTTGTTTCCATTTGTTTGCATAGATCTGTCATCATATTCGCTTACTATGTATCTTCAATAAAGCTGGAAAAACTTTTTTTTGAAGAATTACTCATTTTTTTCTTCCCTCGTTTGTTACTTTGCTTTGACCTTGGCACAAAACATCCGAGAAATCTGGATTTAAAGCATTTACTAGGATTTTGCATCAAGGGAAACAAGGAAGAAGATTGCTGGTATTTCTCAGAAGCGCTCTACTGGATTCAGGGCCTACATTATGGAACGGAAAGGCGTGATAGCAATATCGGTCACGCGCAAGGCGCATGGTGTCCCGGAAGAACCAAACCCTTGTATAGGGGCCTGCAGGATCGCGAGAGTCGGACGTGCGTACGGCCATTGCGCCGCGCACGTCGTATGTCACTGGGCCGTACTCGATTTATTCTGGATAGGTGAGATTTTTTTGTTTTTCTTCTCATTTCTCGCCTTCTTTTCTTTTCAGGCGACGAACATATGTTAATGCAGAGGAGTTTAAGATCTAGATTAAGGTGAGGTGCAGGATTATGCTCAGTACGGGCCAATATTGTGGACTTTTCACCCCTGTTTTGAAGAATGTTGAGTTTTCTGTTCTGGCTGTCCGATTATGTTCGATTTTTCGTCCTGCCTGCCCGGTTACGAAACTCCGTTTTATTTGCAACGTCTGTTCTACCTCATCTTGCATCATGCGCGTCATCACAATCATAATCATTGTCATCATCATCATCAACACCATCACAAGCAATATTCAAGATAAGGTAGAATAGACGGTAGAAATAGAACAGTTTGCTGTAACAGGGCAGCCAGGACAGAATATCCAACATCTCAACCAGCAGGCATGGAAGGTCTGCAATATTGAGTCCGTATTGAGCATAATCCTGCACCTCACCTTAATTCAGATTTTAAACTCCTCCGCACCAACATGTGCTCACCGTCTGAAAAGAAAAGAAGGCGTGAAATGTAAAGAAAAACAAAAAAAACTTACCTATCTAGCCTTAATCGACTACTACCCAGCGATATCAGGCGTGCGCGGCGCAAAGGCCGTACGCGCGTCCGACTCTCGCGATCCTGCAGGCCCCTATAGAAATGACTGGAGTGACGTAGCAGACTTGAATGTTGTCTTCCTACTTGATTGCATCTCATTACATGACTTGCACGCAGAAAAACTTATTCTGTTCGAGACCACCACGGCACCGCTTTCAGCGTGCTATTTAGTGCAGAAATTACAGATGGCAGGATATTCGTACCAGGACCTTGCCAGTTTTTATTTGATTTCTGCCCGAGCTCCCTTTTGGAAATCCGTCAAACGCCCGCCTCGAACTTTTCTAAAGGCATCGGTGATTCCAATGTTGGGTATTAGACTCTCCAAGTGCAAAGCCCAAACCCAGTATGTTAAAAATTTTGCGAAGAAAGTTCTGCCAATAGATGTTAAGCTAAATTGTTTTATTTATATCTTCATCATGAGTGGCTGTCATTCAGCGATATTTTGGTCACGTGTACTGATAACCTTAGACTATTGATTAGGTACGTCACTGATGCTTTATTTCAAGAAGCGTGCTGGCTGCGTTTTGAAACATGTGGCTTTCTGACCCTTGAATTCAATGAGTTATTTCTTGCTTGCAAAAAGGCCCAGGTACCGAGGCAAGTGATAGTCGGATAGTGCTTCATCTAACAGTATAAAGGCTATGAAAAGGATTGTTAAAACAAGCTATTAGAAGTTGTGCGCGTCCATATTTTGAAAAATGTGCCTTTTCGCGGACCTAAGCGCAACGGATTCTCCTCCTTTTTTGGGCATATCTTCCTAGTTGATTGTCATTTTTTCGAGGTGAATAGCGTGCTGGGTAGCTGGGGCCATAGCACACTAAGAACACATCTCAAACCATCCCCTTGCATTCACATTCGTTTTTGGTAGTTATGAAAAGAATTGGCAGGACTTTCTTCACAACCTAATACATGTTCTTAGTCATGAACTCACTCTAAATGCTCACCAGTGACGCCAACATGTGGTAGGCTAGTGGGCTTCTGTAGTTCATGTTTAGGAGTTAGAGCATGATTTGGACGGTGAGGCCAACTATAATTAAAGGTTACAATCTACCACCAAAATCTGACAAGCGTCTATATTGCTGAGCTACTGCCTCCGTTCGAGGCTCAAATCCGGGTTCTACGCCACGAAAAGGCCACAATATGAAATAATGAATTTGTAATCATGTGGCGAATTTAAACGGAAGGGTGGCACTTTGCTAAAGAGCGCACAGTAGGCCTGCAAGAAGTGGGGGCGTGGCTTCAGCCACGCCCCCGAAAATTTTTTTTATAAGGCTAAATTGAATTTTCAAAAAATTTAAAAAATTATTTCAATTATTTACAAGTATAAATAAGTCTCTTGCACATATTTATAACTCATATAAGTAACTTTCAAAAATCTCGCGACCCATTCTCGGGGGGCCCCCCCCCCGCCTCCCGCCACTGGTGCGCAGATATGCCGAAACTAAGGAGGTTTCGGTTCTGAAGTAGCGAAGGGATGCCGGAAGGGAAACAAATGGTTAGGAGTGTCAAGAAGATACTTAAGTAACAGAAACATCAATCAAATAGCGGTAAGCAAAGCGTGAGGTCATGAAGTCATCCATAGATATTGGGAAATTAGGATGGGTTCTATAATATTGGCACCAAGCAGCGAATAACCTCCACCAGAATTTCAAATAGATCTGAATTTGACAGATTTTGCGGCTCGCAAAAGTTCATGTAGTTTAAAATTTGAAGGAATAGATCCCAATTTGAAATTGATTCCGCTCACAGTTTATGCAATTATATACTCACCTTTGCAGAATTTCTCATCCGCCTAGCGATGGCGCCATTTCCACTTGGGTCCACTTGAATGCACACACAACGCGGGCTGTGGCACGAAGCTCTGGCGCGGGGATTGCAAGATGGAAACGGAACATGCGATTGACACAGGCTTATCTGCACATCATATCTCTTTCAAAGTGCGATTCATAATTATGCGGACACCTCCATATATTGGGAGTTTCGGGACATCCTAAAAAAAACTCAAAAAGCCGTTGGTATTACCTGATGAGTGCAACGGAAAACGGCCTAACTGGCACAAGAATGAATATCGGTGTCGATCTTAGAAATATTTTTGCGCAGAATATGGATTTTTAGCTGGTTATAATCATACGAACACCTCAAATGGAGCTGCTTTGAAATTGCAATTTTTCAGTCAATATTTTGCAGAGCCATTGTAACAAAGTCTGAAATACTGCTACACATTGAACTTAGCTCAGTTTGAAAAGATTGGCGTTAACTCTCCTCGAAATGGCTATCTAGATTCTACAATGGATATGAGGTGAACCATGTTTTTTGAGAGATATTGTGTTTGACGCTTGGAAGATCTCTGTGTTCTGTCGCGCACAAGTTCCAACTTTACTCTCAAAGGTCACTCTACTTTTTTCTTACCATATGCCAACTACTATATCAAATTGTGGCAAGATGGCAGAACAATGGCTGCATTTGTAGCTTACACCTTAATCTATATAGTACCAAAATTGATCGCCACATTCGAAGTAAAAAAAGGTCATAGAAAAACCTAGCTGTCAAGTATATCAATTAACGATACTCTCGATGTGACTTACGGTTTGTGGTTGGCCATGAATAGGCATGAAAAGGGTTCATAGTTATGGTTAAGCCAGTAAGGAGTGACATTCTGGGGGAAGATCGAAATGTAAGCTGAACCGTCAGGTGTTGTTTCTTGACTCTTTATCAGTATTCTTCTTTTCAATTAAGAGGACTAACGCAACTGATGTTACGCGTTCCTATTATTTGCTGACATTTGTATCGAACTTTCTCCTTGATTTGTTTAATTTTTGTAAACTATGCGAGAAAGATTGAATCTTGTCAAATGCTCGGGATGCAAACATGTTCACAGCACGTTATCAAATGCCTTTTCCTCTTTGCACATATTCACAAAAGTTTCTTCGTATAATTTTTCGAAATCTCTTATAACTTCTTCATAGGCTCTACAATTTATCACAACATTCAAAAGGTTAATATAAAGAACTAGAGACGAGTCTTTGGGGTTTTCAAAAGAAGTGGAGGAAGTGCTTTTTGCTTTCTGAGCTCTACATCATGATTCTTCTGTTGCAGCAATATCATGGCATGAGCATATTAACCCTTTCCTGTAGCAATCTCTAAGCCATATAGGGACGGATTCAAGACGTAATGGGCTGTGCCGCCAACCTCCCTTTTGTGGTGGTATCAGAGTTTGCGAAGAATCTGGGTCTTTCAGAAAAATATACTAGAGGTGTAGCCTTAAAGGCAGTAGCTCGGAAAAATTGCAACTGCGCGCTTTCTGTTTCTCCTTAGCCGGCCTTCTGGATACGTTTAGATCAGAGCTGTGCTTGAAAAGTAAAAAAAAAAAAACGCTTTTTATAGTGTTTTGTGGCTTTGAAGATTGCTGAGGAGGTTGGAGCTGAGATCTCCGCCAAAAACAGTGAGTGGCTGCAGGAGACTGTACACCGCTCATTTTGGCGGCAATTGGCTGATCATCCCCGGCAGCCAATCGCGACTCGGCTGCGGAAATCTCCTTTCCAGCCTCTTCAGCAATGTCCAAGGCTGGAGAAGGCTGGCTCCTCAAAAAGCATTTTTTTGACTTTTCAAGCACAGCTGCGATCTAAACGCATCCAGAAGGCCAAGAAGGACCAGAACGCGCGCAGCTGCAGTTTTTCCGAGCCACTGCCTTTAACCGTGCTTTCTTTCCCTTCTCTTGAAAAATTTTTTCCAAAGGCTATTTGGTACTCCAAGGAGTTCACCGTTCCAAGAATCTTCTTGTAATTCGGGTGGATTTTTGAATGAAAAAGCAGATGTATAGAAGAATGTGATCTGCAGAGATCCGATATTAGAGTAGCTGTAGACTGCAGTATTTGGTTTCAACGTCAACTGCTGTGAAAAAGTCCCCCCCCCCCCATTGAGCGGTAAATGTTATCTTATATATAAAGCTGAATGTCTGTTTGTATGCCTGTATGTATGTCTGTCTGTCTGTACGTATGTTCCGAATAGAAAATTCCATTTTTGAACCGATCCGGACCAAACTTGGTACACATACACTTCGGGCCCCGGCGGGTGTCATAGGCTACTTTTCGTTATCGATCGATATCGATTCTATCGATTTTTTGCAAAATTTGAGCTATGGGGCTGGGAGTTGGCACAGGGGGGTAATCGAGCATGCTGATCACGAATATAATAATGACAGGGCCGGGCGGAGCCGGGTAAGTCAACTAGCATTATATAAGATGAGCTGATATTTAGCCAAATTCCTGCAGGAGCATTCCTTGACTTATAAGTCACGCCTTTTGCCTTCGTAATTATTACATCCAAGAATTGCATTTTAGACATGGAATGTCGATTGAAAGAAGGTGATGTTATGAAATACAATGCTGCGACCGACAAATGGGAGAAGTTCCATGCAGTATTGTTTAGTGATTCGAATTTTCGTTGGTACGAAAAGCTCGGTGCCATCAATCCACTGCGTTGGTGCAATGTAAACCAAAAATGTATAGAATTTTTTTTATCTAAAAATGACTCTATTTAGGGCAGCTATAAGCTCAAAGGATCTATTCTTCTTTTGGAAGTCATGCCATACATTTGCATTGGTCAAATGACAGAGAGGATGCCAGGTTATTATCATTCATTGATGAGGCCCTGAAGCCATCTATGTTTTGCTCGTGTTAGGGCCCAAATGGTGACGACGCCTTTGTCGCTTTTGAATTTTACTATCTCCACTTGATAGTGCTAATGCGCGGGTTGTTCTTGGAGCGCGCTTTCCTCCTGCGTCGTTGCTCTTTCTGCTAACAAGAACGAACAGGCTTCCTGAAACCAAAATACTTTTTGCAAAACACCATTCGTAGAACAGGCTGAAAATTAAGGTGAATGAGCTCAAAATTTTAGAACATTCGAGAAATCGTCACGATGGTGTGCGACCGCGCGCAACACGCACGTACTTCCATTTCTTGGTTTCTACCTCTACTCGAATGGTTTTACCGCTTACATATGATAATATTCGGACACTGGAAGTAACTGAGTGGAGCGTTGAATTGATACGTACCTGTGTGGATGTTTTACGCTCCTGTGTGCGCAAAGACCGCGGTCAAACTCGTCGTCACGATTTCAAGAATCCTTCTATATATATAAAACCGAATGGGATTTTGTCTGTACACTGGTGGCTTGTCTGTACGCTGGTGGATAAGCATGCTTGTTGATGCTATCTGTAGGTCCTCGATGTTGTTTTCGTGTTTGTCATTTTCCAGCATGGAAGCTTGTTATTACTTCTACCAAACTTATCGATTATTTGTAAATTTTGAACTACGGGGCTGGGAGTTGGCACAGGGGGGTAATCGAACATGCTAATTACGAATATGATAACCATTTTCAAAAATGCCCATTACTTTTATCATTTTATCGATTTTTTGGCAAAGTTCAAGCTACGGGGCTGGAAGTTGGCACACGGGGGTAATCGAGCTTGCTGATTACGAATTTGATAACCATTATCAAAAATGCCCATTACTTTTATCATTTTATCGATTTTCTGGCAAAGTTCAAGCTACGGGGCTGGGAGTTGGCACACGGGAGTAATCGAGCATGCTGATTACGAATATGATAACTATTTTCAAAAATGCCCATTACTTTTATCATTTTATCGATGTGTTTGCAAATTTTGGACTACGGGGTTGGGAGTTGGCACGGGAGGGTAAGCGAACATGCTGATTACGAATACAATACTGGTTTTTAGAATTATCAGTTATTTTTATCATTTTATCGATTTGTTTGCAAAGTTCAAGCTAAGGAGCTAGGAGTTGGCACACGGGGGTAATCGAGCATGCTGATTACGAATATGATAACTATTTTCAAAAATGCCCATTACTTTTATCATTTTATCGATTTTTTTGCAAACTTCAAGCTACGGAGCTAGGAGTTGGCACACGGGGGTAATCGAGCATGCTGATTACGAATACAGTATTAGTTTTTAGAATTATCAGTTATTTTTATCGTTTTATCGATTTTTTTGCAAAGTTCAAGCTACGGAGCTAGGAGTTGGCACATGGGGGTAATCGAGCATTCTGATTACGAATATGATAACCATTTTCAAAAATGTCCATTACTTTTATCATTTTATCGATTTTTTGGCAAAGTTCAAGCTACGGGGCTGGAAGTTGGCAAGGGAGGGTAAGCGAACATGCTGATTACGAATACAATACTGGTTTTTAGAATTATCATTTACTTTTATCATTTATCGATTTTTTGGCAAAGTTCAAGCTACGGGGCTGGGAGTTGGCACACGGGGTTAGTCGAGCATGCTGATTACGAATATGATAACTATTTTCAAGAATGCCCATTACTTTTATCATTTTATCGATTTTTGCAAATTTTGGACTGCGGGGTTGGGAGTTGGCACGGGAGGGTAAGCGAACATGCTGATTACGAATACAGTATTAGTTTTTAGAATTATCAGTTATTATCATTTTATCGATTTTTTGGCAAAGTTCAAGCTACGGGGCTGGGAGTTGGCACACGGGGGTAATCGAGCATGCTGATTATGAATACTGTATTAGTTTTTAGAATTATCAGTTATTTTTATCATTTTATCGATTTTTTGCAAAGTTCAAGCTACGGGGCTGGGAGTTGGCACAGGAGGACAAGCGAACATGCTGATTACGAATATGATAACCATTTTCATAAATACCCATTACTTTTATCATTCTATCGATTTTTCTGCAGATTTTGAACTACGTGACTGGGAGTTGGCACACGGGGGTAAGGGAACATGCTGATTACGAATATCATAACATTTCAGAAAATACCCCTTACTTCTATTGGTTTAATTGATTTTTTGCAATGTTTGAACTATGGCGTTGGGGATTAGTACAGGCAGGTAATTGAGCATGCTGCTCACGAGCACATTCTTATTTTACAACTTGTCACTTACCTTCACTGGCTTTATCGATTTTTTGCAAAGTTTAAGCCAGGAAATGGGATTTGGCACATGGGAGAAAGCGAGCATGCCGATTACGATTGTAATAAGTGTTCTTAGAAGAACCTATTATTTTTGTCGATTTTTCTATTCTTTGTAAAATTAGAGCTACACGGCTGACATTGCGCAAAGTTGTATGTGAGCACGCTCACTGCAATGATAGTTTTTGAGAATTTCCATTACTTTTATTGATTTCATCTTTTCAAAGCTGAAGCTACGAGGCTCAGATGGCACTAATCCGGGGGTAAGTGAGCATGCTGAGAATTCTATAATCACACTCGGAAATGACGAAGGCGGTAAATTTACCTAAAGTTGTTATAAATTCACTTCGGCCCGCCTTTACCTTTTTGAATCCTACTTCTGCCCCCAAAATCAGAAAAGCACATAGAGCCTGGTTTCGAGGGAAGAAAATGCTTATAAACTGAGGCGGCAAGCAGTGGCGGACCGAGGGGGGGCGGGGGGGGGGGGGCGCCCCCCCCCCGAGAATGGGTCGCGAAATTTTTGAAACTTACCTATATGGGTTATAAAAATGTGCAAACGACTTGTTTATTTATGTAAATAATTGAAATAATTTTTAAAATTTTTTAAAAATTCAAATTAGCTTTATAAAAAAAATTTTTTCGGAGGCGTGGCTGACGCCACGCCCCCTTTTTTCAGATTTTAGGGGTTGGGAACCCGCAAAAAGTTAGAGAGGCACCCCAAAAAATTTTTTCGGAGTGCGCGGCTAACGCCACGCACCTTCATTTGAAAAAAAAATTTTTGTCGCGCCCCCCCCCCCCCCCCGGTCCGAAATCCTGCGACCGCTACTGGCGGCAAGATATTTCGGTACTTTTCCGTTGTCTGGACCCATTTTTTCAAAGAAGAGCATTGCTTCCATCCTTGTACCATATTTGGTCTCAGCTTTACAGGGAGGAGTGCCAACCTTCCGCCACGTGTCAAAAAAATTTAAAATGTCATTTACATGCTTAACAGGTTTTACTAAGAGTTTTCGTTCAATCTGTTTTGTAGTCAATTTCAATTTCATTTCGATCAAGCATTTCAAAGTGAACATTGTCATAATAATAACGACATACTCTTATCGATGAACAGACTAGACTTGCTCGGAATAGAGAAGTGCGTGAGATGAAATCATTTAAGAGGCAAAATAAGCGGCAGCAAGGGACTTCAAGCTTCATTTATAGTCTTTTCTGGCTAAAATCGCATGGCCAGAAGGGTTTGAAGAGAAAAGCATTATTAAATCACTACTGAAAGCAAGCAAGATGATCTAAAATAAATTCATGATTGTTTTGCTTTTATGTAAAACAATTAAACAGCTCAAAAGTGACTACAAGTTCTCTTTTACCTCCCCGGAAATGGTTTCGAAAAAAAATCATGTCAGAATGAACCGAAAAGTGTCAATTTTTTTGTGACACGTGGCAAGGAGGCAGTCCTCGTAGAAACTATAAAAAATTATTCTTAGACTAAAGAAAGTATCACATGGGAGCCTTTCGAAGAAATGGGTCCGAATAACGGAAAAGTACCGATAATTTCGCTAAGAATTTCTACGAGTCAATATCTAATTATACAGAAATTTCCTTAAATTCACTTCTGTCCCTTCCACTCTGCAAAAACCATGCTTCTGCCTCTGAAAGCAGAAAAGTGGTCTCTGGGGAAGGACAGACCCATGAGCTTCATCCGGCACGGCATTTTCACTGAAACTTTTGGCTCTCAAACTGCAAAAACCACAAAACTCAAAAACCACACATCTGGCCCTAAAAGCAGAAAGATAGGGAGCTTGGTCTCGATGGAAGAAAGAATTATGGCCTCAGGCAGCAAGAGACTTTCGCCAGAAGTTCCTGGGTGTCAATGATTATACAGAACTTGCTTGAAATTTACTTCTGGCCCCTTTGGTCTCGAGGAGAAAACACTAATAAGCTCAGCCAGCAAGATACTCTCGCTGAAACTTTCTGGGTGTCAATGTTTATTCATACTGAAACTTGCTTCAAAAATTTACTTCTGGCCCTTCTACTTTGCAAAAAAAAACCATACTTCTGCCTCTAAAAGTAAAAAATCACAAAGCGCTCTCGAGGGAAGGACAGACCCATGAGCTTCATCCGACAGGACAGTCTCGCTAAGACGTTTGACCCCCTAGACTTCGCAAAAACCAGTACTTCTGCCCCTAAACGCAGAAAAGCACAGATAATCCAGTCTCGATGGAAGAAAGAATCATGGCTTCAGGCAACAAGGTATTTTCGCCAGAAGTTTATGGGTGTCAATAATCATACAGAAACTTGCTTAAAATTTACTTCTGGCCATCCTACTTTGCAAAAACCACACTTCTTCCTCTAAAAGCAAAACAGTACAGATAGCTTGGTCTCGAGAAAACGGCAGAACCATGAGGCTTCATGCGACAAACATTTTCGCTAAGGCGTCTGACCTCCTAGACTTCGCAAAAACCAGTGCTTCTGCCCCTAAAAGCAGAAAAGCACAGGGAATTTAGTCTCTAAGGAAGGACAGACCCATGAGCTTCTTGCAACAGGACATTTTCGCAGAAACTTTCGGCCCCTTCTACTTCGCAAAAACCAGTACTTCTGCCCTGAAAACAGAAAAGCACAGGGATTTAGTCTCTAGGGAAGGACAGACCCATGAGTTTCATCCGACAGGACATTTTCTAAGACTTTTGACTCCCAAACTTCGCAAAAAACCATAAAACTCAAAAACCACACTTCTGGCCCAAAAAGCAAAAAAGCACAAGGAGCTTGGTCTCGAGGGAAGTAAGAATTATGGCCCCAGGCAACAAGATGTTTTCGCCAGAAGTTTATGGTTGTCGATGTTTCATTATACATAAACTTGTGAAATTCGTGGCCATTCTACTCTGCAAAATCCATGCTTCTACCCCTAAAAGCAAAACAGCACAGATAGCTTGGTTTCGAGGAAAAGAGACTCATAAGCTCAGCCAGCAAGATATTTTCGCTGAAAACTTCTGGGTGTCAATGTGTATTCTACAGAAACTTGTTTAAAATTCACTTGTGGCCATTCCACTCTGCAAAAACCAGACTTCTGCCTCTGAAAACAGAAGAGTGGTCTCGAGGGAAAGACAGACCCATGAGCTTCTTGCGACAGGAAATCATCTTTGCTGAAAATTCTGGCCTTCTGAATTTTGCAAAAACCACACTTTTGTCCCTAGAAGCAAAAAACAGGGGGCTTGGTCTCGAGGGAAGAAAAGACTCAGGGCTCAGGCAGCGAGATATTTGCGCTAAAAGTTTTTAGGTGTCAATATTTGATTATACAGAAACTTGCTGGAAAAATTACCCTTCTTCTCAACCATACTTCTGCTAAAAGCGGAAGCATAAGGAGCTTGGTTTCGAGGGAAGGAAAGAACTAGGGTTTTATACGACAGGACAGTTTCGGTAAGATTGTCCTTCAAAAGAAGGCGCTGGGGCAGCTTCTGTTCAAGAAATGAGCCCGTTCACTGGCAAGACATCATCGAAGAAAATGCTGCTTCGTTTTTACCGACATATCTGAGTTTTTGGCTGCTGGAAGACATAAATTGACGCTTCCTTTAACATGGCACTTTTTTGGAAATCAATCTTAGTTTTGGGATGAATCAGCTGCTCTAAACAGGTGCTTCGAGGTAGCTTCCTTGTTTAAGAGCTGTGGTATCTGGGCAAAGGCATGTGCAAGAAAACAGCAAAGATGCCTTGCGCATAGTCAGTGGTAGTAGCTTCTTTTCCTAAGAGCATAGTGTTTTGTTTCTACTACTCACAACATGCGAAAGGTCGCTGGGAAGATGAAAATTCTCTTTCTTGGGATTTTAGTTAATTAATGGCAGATATCAATGTATCTGCCCCCACCCACCTACTAGCGACCCGTAGGGTCGCTAGTCTTATATATAAAGCTGAATGTCTGTTTGTCTGTCTGTATGTCTGTCTGTATGTCTGTCTGTCTGTGTGTACGTATGTTCCGAATAGAAAATTCCATTTCTGAACCGATCCGGACCAAACTTGGCACACATACACTACGGGCCCCGGCGGGTGTCATAGGCTACTTTTCGTCATCGATCGATATCGATTTTATCGATTTTATCGATTTTTTTGCAAAGTTTGAGCTACGGGGCTGGGAGTTGGCACAGGGGGGTAATCGAGCATGGGGATTCCGAATACAATATTGGTTTTCGGGATTATCGATTACTTTTATCGATTTTATCGATTTTTTGGCAAAGTTTGAGCTACGGGGCTGGGAGTTGGCACAGGGGGGTAATCGAGCATGGGGATTCCGAATACAATATTGGTTTTCGGGATTATCGATTACTTTTATCGATTTTATCGATTTTTTTGCAAAGTTTGAGCTAGGGGGCTGGGAGTTGGCACAGGAGGGTAATCGAGCATGCTGATCATCCCCAAGGGGGGTGATCAGCATGCTCGATTACGCCCCTGTGCCAAATTCCAGCCCCCTAGCTCAAATTTTCAAAAAATCGATAAAATCGATAAAAGTAATGGACGATCCTGAAAACTAATATTGTGTTCGTAATCAGCATGCTCGATTACCCCCCTGTGCAAAATCCCAGCCCCGTAGCTCAAACTTTACAAAAAAAATCGGTAAAATCGATAAAAGTAATGGACGATCCTGAAAACTAATATTGTGTTCGTAATCAGCATGCTCGATTACCCCCCTGTGCAAAATCCCAGCCCCGTAGCTCAAACTTTACAAAAAAATCGGTAAAATCGATAAAAGTAATGGACGATCCTGAAAACTAATATTGTGTTCGTAATCAACATGCTCGATTACCCCCCTATGCAAAATCCCAGCCTCGCATGTCAAACTTTGCAAAAAAATCGATAAAATCAATAAAAGTAATCGATGATTCTGAAAACTAATATTGTATTCGGAATCCCCATGCTCACTTCCCCCCCTGTGCCAACTCCTAGCCCTGTAGGTGAACTCTGCAAAAAATCGATAAAAATCGATAAAATCGACATCGATCGATAACGAAAAGTGGACTGTGACACCCGCCGGGGCCCGACGTGTATGTGTGCCAAGTTTGGTCCGGATACGGCGGAGCCGGGTAAGCCAGCTAGTGAACTATACAAAAGCTTTTTATGATGCTTTGCCCTTACGGCTGCAAGTATACGCACCAAATTTGGAGCTGTATCGTTAACTTTCTGTTGCACAACGAAATTCCCAGAGCTGCTGCTCAAGATCGCGATCCACAATTTCGCATAATACTTGCTATCGGCACGAAGCTCCACCATGCACAAGAAGGGGTTGATTCTATGAGCGGGATTCTCAGAAATTGGTTGTCAAACGGATCGACATGGATTTTTGTCCGCAAATTTCGATTCTCAGAGTTTTTTGAAGTCTTGAATTTGCTTGAAAAATGGGTGTGCAAACCAGGGATTTTTGCCTGAAAATGATCAAAAGTCTTTTTTCTGCGGAAATGGCTCCGAGAGTATTAATTGCGACAACTGTTTCTCTCAAGGTACTACGCAAGAAACTGGGTAATTTTTACTCATTTATCTAATTCGCTGTGGATATTGCAATTGAGCCATAATGAGCTCAACTGACTTGAAACTCAGCACAAAAGTTCCTTATTTTTTAAGTTCATTTCTCTTTGCACATTTTACATGAAGGTGTTTTTAGTAGTTGTTTACAGTCCATTGGTGAATCAGTATCGCGATGGGCTTCAAAACCACCGTTATCGCGAGAGCGCATTGAAACCCTTAGAATGGGGGATAGAGAACAGAGTCAATGCGAGCCTTGCAAAGCATAGATGACGCACTGATTTTAGATAACTCCACAAATGTTGTTCTTGCCATGCAAGCAAAGTGCTTGCTTCGACTTCAATCGGTGAAATTCAACAGCAATTGCGTGTCCCTCTTCTGTTTCAGTAAAGCCACCGGATCTACCAAATGGTTATGCCGTGGACCATCTCGTAGGCATAGGCATGGATCTAGATGCCGAAACTGTTCACTGGATATTATTTTCTTCTGATGAAGAGATAGAGTTAGTGTTTGTATCGATGTCATCCATTCCACCATGAAATGCAGCCTTAATCCACCCAAAGATCAAAATCTAGGTCTTGGATCACTGAAATCATCAAAACGTTACCAACGGTACCAACGTTCGTCAATCAACCTCAACAGCGGCCTCAATCTGCACAAAAATCTGAAAGTAAGTGTTTATAACTGTGATAATGAGTGGGGGTATAAAGCCTCTGGTTTTCAAATTCTCTCCATGTAAACTCCTGGTCAATGCAACTTGGCTCGGGCGGCCCGTGTTGAACTCACGGCGCCTCAGTCATCCAGTCAACTATCGATCCGGATGCTGATCGCTTTCTAAACATGATAATCGTAGACGTTCTCAATGGAAAAGAGCTGCTCCTGCTTGAGCAGCTTTGCGATTCAACCCGCACGGTTATGATTCGGGACCGACTAGTGGCAATTTTGCTGCATCAGCGGACAACCTTTGATGGCTGCCACTCGCATAATCTGAACCTAAGAATCTCGCCTGCCTAGCAAACAGATAAATAAAAAAAATTACGATAGACGAAAACTTTTGAAAAAATCGGTTGTTGGAAACTAAAAAGAAAGAACGAATAAATGTTTTCGTTCTATGCAGGTTACGCTCATGGTTCTGAAAAACCCTGAGCGTACCCTGAACCTATTTCTTGTTTTCTAGTCCAATAAACGTTCATCCATCCTTTCTATCTCAGGCCCTTATGATTGTGCATTTTTGCGCGCTGCTCACTTGGCGTCCATGGGGTTGCCTCACCTTTATGCCAATATGCATGTGCATCCCCGCTGGAAGGGGGGGGGGGAGATCTAAGAGGGGACGCGCATATCTCGTTACTTTGGATACTCGTATTCATCTTTCTCCTATGTTATAAAGGCTCCTATACCCTGATACTTGATTGTAATGGATGGCAGAACATTGCCGCACAAGCTGAAATTTTCGTTGTTTCGTGTGATCCCCGATACCCAGGGGATCAGCTTTCAAATCCGTCTAACTTTTCAGGAAGTCGATGAAAACATGTTATACTGAAGTTCTATTGTGGCCCTGCTAGGGATTTACGGCAAAACAATTGGATTGTGCAGGTTGTGAGTTTATCGATGGACCTCAGCTCGCGAACAGCATTTCATCAAAGATTTTGATATCGGTTTTACTGATTTTTGTTATAAATATGTTTGACAGGGTCGCACTGTATCCTCGGTACATCACAGCATTTTCTTCAAGTTTATAAGAAGACTAGCTGGCTTACCCGGCTCTGCCCAGACCTGTCAAAACATTACGATAAAGATCCCATCCCTATCCATGTACAACAGTTCCCTGTGCCCACTTTCACTTCTGTCAAGAAGAGAAGCGATTACCAATGAATTATCATCTGCAAAGCATCTTTGCTGTTCCTCTCGCAGATACCCTAGCCCAGATACCACAGCTCCCAAACAGGGAAACCCGTGTCATCCCTTTAGAACAGCTAATTCATCACAAAACTCAGGATGATTCCAGAAGAAGTGTAATGCTTTAGAAAGCGCCAGGCTACTTTTTCCAGCAGTCGAGAAAACCCAGATATGCATGAAACTACCTCAAAGCGAAAATGCTCTTTCGATAATGTCTTGCCAATAAACGGACTCATTTCTTAGAACAAAACTAGGGCTGGCCCAACACCTTCTGAGGAGCAAATCTTAGCGAAGTTGTTCTGTCGCATAAATCCCTGGATCTTTCCTTTCCTCGAAACCAAACTTCTCGTGCTTTTTTGCTTTCAGGGACAGAACTGTGGTTTTTTGCGAAGTTAAAGGGTCAAAAGCCTTGGCGAATATTTCCTGTAGCATGAATCTGGGGCCTGTCCTTCCCTCGAGACCAAGCTCCCTGTGCTCTTCTGCTTCAAGGGCAGAAGTATGGCTCTTGGAAGTAGAAGCCAAAAGTTCATTTCAAGCACTTATATAATTTGGAATTGACACTTAGAGATTCTCAACGAAAAAGTCTTGCAATTTGAAGCCCTTCACTCTTTTCTTCCAGCGGGACCTACGTCCTTCTGCTCTTTTGCTTTTAGGGGCAAAAGTGGTTTTTCATGAGTAAAGGCAGCCAAAAGTAATTTTCACCAACTTTTGGTAAGTTTCATCCTTGTTTCCAGCGAGACTTGGCTCCCTCTCTTTCTGATTTTGAATGAAAAAGTACGATTTTCACAAGGCAGAAGCAATACAGCAATACTCTCTCGGCGATTAGGAGCTTTTCTCGACGCATCCTCGTTCATTCGAGAGATACAATTCTGTCTCGTACATCGCATCATCTGGAGTGCTCTTGTTGTCGCCATTTTCCTCACGATAGAGGAACCATAGCACAATACTAGAGCATTGAGGGACGGAGAGAACTCCCATTATACGTTTTGGTCAACTGCGAAAGCTATTATCAGAATGCTCAGTATGCTCACTTATCCCTCCCCCCCCCCCCTTCCCCCGTGCCAACTCTCAGCTTCATAGCTTGAACTTTAAGAAGAATGGATGAAATTAGTAAAGGTTATAATTGATCTCAAAAACGGTTATTATCTTATCAATCAGCATTCTCAATGCACCTTTGTGCCAAATCAGGCGTATAGCCCGAATTTTACATAAAAAAATGGTAACAGTAATGGCAAGAACATCCAGTAATCATATTGGGCATGCTCACCCGCCTATACCAACTTTCAGCATCATAGCATAATTTTTGCAAAATTCGAGAAAGTCAGTAAAGGTACTGATCGCTTTATGCGTTCGTGACTCATTCACCCCCTATCAACTCTGAGCGCCGTAGCTTAAACTTAAAGAAGTAATGGGTGTTATCAGCACTGGTTATCATATTCGTAATCAGCATGCTCATTTACTCCCATGTGCCAACTCCCGGCCCGTAGCTTAAACCTTGAGACAAATCGATAAAGTCATTGAAGGTAATCGATCAATTTATAAAATAGTAACGCATTCGTAATCAGCATGCTCATTTACCACCGTGTACCAACTCTGAACGACGTGATTGAACATTGCGAAAAATCAAAAAGTTGATAAAAGTAATGGGTATTACTGATAGTGGTTATCATAATCAGCGTACTCGCTTACCCCTGTGCCAACTCCAAGTCTCGTAGCTTGAACCTCGCGAATGAACGATAAACGCGAATAATCGATATCGGTAGAAGTAAAGTTTGTTTACAAAGTTAAGGGTTTTTGTACTAGCAATCAACTTGATCGTTATCCCTTTGTGCCAACTCCCAGCTCGGCTCAAATTTTGAAAAATCGATAAAATCGCTTTGAAGTGAAGCCATTACCAGGCCATTACCAGTTATTTCACCATAATAAGCTCTGCTGTGCTTAACCGAAAACAACAAACACGAAAACACCATCGACCGCAAAACACCATCGAGAACCTACAGACAGCATCAACAATGCGCAGGCATGCTTATCCACCAAAATACAAACAATGCAGATCTTATAAAGTGTGTGCCAAAACTCAGCACACACTTTTCAATCTTTAATATCTCTCTTCCCATTGTGTCTTTTTCCGCCATTTGAGTACCATTCTGTAGAGGAGGCTTCAATTTAGATTCACAGTATCGGTCGAATCACCGATCTCCCTTCGTTACTGTAGGATACGGTAAAAACTTCCAGCATGTGGAACCATGTGAAATATGCCATCTGACAACACTTTTTCAAAAAATATAAAAATTGTGTATCACGGTTTTCGCGCACGCTGATTCCACTATACAACTTTTACGAATATTCTCAACTTTTTTGACGGTGTAATCACATTTTTGACAAATACTGAGAATTCGGCTATTACGGTTTACCTGAGATAACTTTGGAAAGAAGCATCACAGTAAAGTGAAAATCATACATTCGAAATCAGCTGCTTCCATTGCCATAGTGTAAGTGTTTTTGATTGTTTGGTTTTGTTCCAAGGCAACACGGCTTGCAATGGCCTAAAATCTTTGTCGAAATTCCTACGATAATCCTACAGTAAAGAAGAGCGATCGGTGATTTGATTGGTACTATAAATCTGATTTGAAGTCTCCTCTACAGAATGGTACTTGACTGGCAAAAAAGATTGATTGGGAAGAGATATATTGACGATTGAAAAGTGTGTACTTACTTTTGGGACACCCTTTATATATAGAATGAGAAGTGTCGACAATGTGAGGTGATGCCTTGGGAATCACAGAGATCACAGAAATCATACGAAACAATGAGATTCTCTGTCTGCATGGCATTCCTCTGTCATCTGTTGTACTCATAAATTAGGGTAAGTGAACCCTAAAGATAGTTAATAAGGAAGAAACAGATTCTTAGGTTTGAATGCATGAACATTTTTGCGGCAAGGGAAGCGGCATTCGCTAGAGCCTCTTTGTAGCGGGGAACCCGCTCCCTTTGCCACAATACACTGGTTCTAGAGTAGCGAGATATGACGCGTCGCCCTCAGATCCCTACCCATGCGGGATGTACGTTGATGTCCCGTAAATTGATCCCAAGCGACTTACGGGATTTTGCCTGAGCCTCCACTCTTCACTATCTCCGTCAGTTCAATTCACGAGCTACCTTCAGCTTACGAGCAGAACGTTGAGCTCGTCACACTATACTGGACGGTCATTTGACTGGCAAATACCATTTTAAAGGAGGGGAGATAGGCAGTGGTGACAACTTTGAAGTTTTTCTCAAAAGGATCACCTCAGTTTGAGTTGAATTGGGGTTTACTACGGGCCTTTGTCCGCAGATTATTTCAGCGCACATCCACAAGTTCAACCAGCTTATCTCTATCCAGCTACTCCGATAAGTGACGATGAGCCATCAAAGGTGGGAGGTGATGCACCACCTCCGTACGACAATCAGAGGCAAGGTGGCAATGACGGAAGTTGTCAAACACGTCCAAGAGGTTCCACTAAGATTAATATCGATCAAGGCTAGTTTACTTATTTTACAAATATAAAAACTGCGACGGAAAGCAGTCTATCTCTAGGTGGCGATATACGCGGTAGAGGCAGAAGTTTTACGGCTAGTGCCTTAGGTAAAGGTTTACTTGGCTTTGGCAGTGCAATACTAGCAGGATCATTGGCTAGCTATGGATTTGGATCAATGTGGGAAAGTGACAATGTGAGAGAATTAGGCTACCATTCAGTGAGTTTTATACTTGAAGATTAGTTATCCGTGCCTCAAACGGAAACCAAGTAGGACAGCGACACCGATGGTGAAGCCGACTATCTTGATCTTGGTGGTCCAACTCAATCACAACAGGCAATATCGGTTATCGGGGTGAGTACAAATGTGTGCGTCAGAAGTATCACTGTTTTCTTTCGACCTTTGAGCGACCCTAGCCTTTTCCATAGAGTAGAGGAATAAAAAAGATTAAGAATGCGTGATAAGACATGAGCAAACGGAAAGAGCTTGAGCATTTGTGGCTGACCTTTGTGTTAATCGCTATTTTTGCACACAGAGCGCTTTTCCAAGTCTTTTTGGCACAATCAAGATAACTATACTGCAACAATTAAGTTATGCAATCAATGAGACATGGCAATAGCCACATTACGCGAAGTCTCAGCTTTTGCAAAGCTTTCAAAAGGCAATGCGTTTGTCAAGATGGATCCGTTACGCTAACACAAAGCAATAGCTGACGGATTGAATTAGTTTACAAAGCCTCTAGTAAAAAATAGTGAGGGTTTCCTAGATGTTTAAGTGTTCTTTCAAGGTATTGATATTTATAACAACTAAAATTTTCGAAAAAGTGTCTGTTTGTCTATGTTTTGAGACGCGGTAGAAATCCCAGTATGCTTGCTGCCTAAAATATTGGTTTAGAGTTTGCCGAACTCCTACACGTTCACTGAGATTGTAGAAGGCTTATTACATTCTGCATCAGCTTGATATTTATCCATCAAAAAGTTTTTCACTCCAATCTCTTTGTCCTGCTTTGCTCTTCAGTCTGGTTAAAATGTTGCAATCCATCGTATTATATCCTTGTTGACAAAGTAGAATCAAGATTGACTAGCTGACTGGTTGCTGCTCTGCTCTAAAAATAGAAACGTTTTTACCTTTTTTTTTGTGCGACCTACTTGATTTAACAATTGCCATTTAATGCGATCCTGCTGCGTTGCATTGAAATAGGCGCTTGACTTGCTACCAAACTTCCGTTGCATGTCCATAATGCTCTAACTTGCAATACTTGTGTAATGCTCCACTATTCCCGCTTACTTTGTGTGGTGGTTGCGCAGGAGAACTGTTCTTGTGTGGCATAGTTATCGAATGTACTTTACAGAATGACGACGACCACTGTCGCACTGGAGACGCTGGTAATCATTACTCATATCATGATCATTCGATAAATTTTATATAATCTAGATTGCTTTGAACTTGAGCATCACATAGCCGACTCTGATGGCTGCGTTACACTTGAACGTAGCGTTGAACTTGAGTATCGCGTAGCCGACTCTGTTGGCTGTAGTGGTGGATTTAGCAATGGCGACTTCGGAGGTGGAGATTATAGCGGTGGCGATTTTGGTGGATCTGATTGCGGCGGAGATTAACGTGATACTATTTTCCTTTCTTCTCAAGTCTCCATAATATGATACACTACTATGCTCATGTATTATTCATATCTCTTGCTTTTGTTGTTATGTTAGATTTCTAAGCCAGGGAGAGTGAGTAATACGCAGTGGTCTAAATCTAATTATCATTTGGCTAAAAATCAGTCGAATGGAGTTGATATTTAAGTTTTGCGTAATGGATTATGGAAGTCGAGTGAATAAAATCTCATGTCCCAATCGTTCAGAATTCCTATTTTTGCTCGTAGTTCAAATCGACTTACGCAATTTTTTCAGATTATTAGAGTGACGGATAATTTCCGTTACACTTTTATTTTTATTTTTCAAAAATTCAAGAAACCCTAAAGTTCCTACGTTCGAGGAGTGCTAGCGGGGTGCAAAGGTCTGCCCGTCGGTACTCAGATCCGTGGTCCGTGCGCAAAACACCCACCTTATCGGCGGGATACGTTTTAGACATTTTTGTCAGAGGGCTGGCATCGTTTCAGGTGATCGGGTAAACACCGGACGATGTGGTATTCGGGAGGGGTATGGTCCGTAGTTTTGTTTTTAGCGAATGTAGGAAGATTGTAGAGTTATGTCCGCATACGATCACATGAGCTACGTATTGCGCCATGTTGGCGCACATTCGCATTTTAACATGAAGAATTTTCAAAAATTCACAAAATTCATTTCCAATCTCTCCTCAAATCCTCTACGATGCACACAAAAAGAAACATTTTCGACTAATATTTGATTTTTTGAATTTGTATTTCACCCCTTGTTTTGGCGTGCTAGCGGCACCAAAATGCTGCCGCAAAAGAGACGTTGCGAAAATTTGTTCTAAAAAAATTATATGAGAGAAAAACAATTAAACGCAAGGAAAAAATCAAGGAAAAAATGAGAATTTTGAGTGTGCTTATGAAGTTGTCGTAAACTTGGGCATTTGCTATTTGGGTATTTGCTGGTGTCAGTCATACTGGTGTGTATGACCTGCCGTGGCCTACATATGAGCAACTTTCAAGGTTTCAGAGGATTTCTGGAATTTTTCGAATTTCACAAAAAAGTGTAATAGAAATTATCCGCCAGCTTAGTACAATAACTTCTCGAATTTCTACCCGATTTTCGCGTATGGGATGCATGTACCAAAATTGTCGGCATTCCTCATGGCCGCACCATCCCCTTGGCAGATCACCGTAAAGTTCATGTCATAAGCATGACCTGCTGTGATATGAGTGTTTATTGCCCAGTGCATGTCATGTCACTTTGCTCCGCCTGTTATCGTTAGCATTCTACCACTGCTTTTCGTGCACGTCATCTTACTCAACAAAAAATGCTTTTGTGTTCTGTGTAACACGATTCAAGAGGCGCTATTTCCTCAGGCCACTGTAGCCGAGACACCGGTACATGTTGACGCACCTTTTACATTTTTTAGCAAAGAGTTTTCCCATACTACTGTGCCTCGCGAATGGTCGCCCTCCCACACAACTCTTTTAAATAAAGAGTAGACAAAGAATAGTTTTTGGTCGCGAAATCCTTCGGTATTTTTAGGGTGGTCGGTTTGAGAAAAAATAGTTGCGTCTTGTACTTGTGAAATCAGGGTATTAGTGTATGCTGCATAAGAATAAAACGCAGTGCATTTTTTGGAGGATTTTGACAGATTTGTTCCGTTCTTCACCACGTTTTCTCATAATTTGTCATTACAGACTAGTAACTCTCATTAAAGCTCATTAAGGCTCTTCCGAAGAAGACTATCACAGGATGGCTCTACACTTATTGCCAGCATTGTGTAGCTTGTTTCTTAATGAGTCGTACAAGTGTTCTTGATGCAAAAGTCTTCACACTTGAAAGTGACTTTGAGCTGAGCTGAGACATGAGGAGAAAAGAAGTTTGAAGACCATGGAGTCAACCATGGAGTGTGTGGTTGTTGCAGATTGAGATGGCAGCCAGCGTCAAGCCCCGGGCATATCATTGTCAATAGCGACAAAAGCTGACAATTTGCCAGATCTTTCCAAACGCAGACCACAATTGCACAGTGTGTATAACTTTCGCAGTGTGATAGAACCCTGTCTGCTATACACTTACAATGCGCTTACGATCATCATAAACAACAGCATTTCCAAATCGCTTCGCGGCTGCAAGTGCATGAAGTGTCCTTAGGCCGAAAATTAGGATGGCAGCAAGAGTTAGACGATAAAGGAAGAACTTGATATGGACGTTATACCGAATAGAAGACCTGTGAAGTATTAGGTTGTCCAGAAATTAATGCAAGTTTTGAATTCCAACCGCAATAAGTCATACACTTCTCATTTCTAAGTAGGTTGCAATACATCATTCGATAGAGCAAAGCAAGCTCTACAAGATGGCAGTCTCGATTTTGCAACAGCTTTAATCCACCACGAGTTTCGAGCCAAAAACTAAAAAGATTCAAATACTCAAAAAATCGAGAAAAATCCCAACTCAGTTCATAAAAATCCTACAAAAATTCTAACTCGCTCACGTAAACACTGTCCACATAAGACGTATATGTACGCCGTTGCCGTATTTTTTCTAGGTTAGAAACCAAGAAAACGAAGATTTTCATGTTTCTGCCAAACTGATCCTGTGCCGTTCCCACATAAGTAGTTGTATACTACTTTACCTGTAGAAGTACAAACGTAAATTTCCAGCTCTCTACAAGCTTTAGTTTTCGAGAAATATCGAATACACTTTTCCTACTCATGTGGTTCAAGCTAAAATTCAAATTTCTCGAGAACTGAAGCTTGTAGAGAGCTGGAAATTTACGTTTGTACTTCTACAGATAAAGTAGTATACAACTACTTATGTGGGAACGGCACAGGATCACTTTGGCAGAAACATGAAAATCTTCGTTTTCTTGGTTTCTAACCGAGAAAAAATACGGCAACGGCGTACATAGATGTCTTATGTGGATAGTGTTTACGTGAGCGAATTAGAATTTTTGTAGGATATTTATGAACTGAGTTACGATTTTTCTCGATTTTTTGAGTAGTTGAATCTTTTTGTTTTTGGCTCGAAACTCGTGGTGGATTAGAGCTGTTGCAAAATCAAGACTGCCATCTTGTAGAGCTTGCTTTGCTCTATCGAATGATGTATTGCAACCTACTTAGAAATGAGAAGTGCATGACTTATTGCGGTTGGAATTCAAAACCTGCATTAATTTCCGGACAACCTAATACTATCTCTCGCATCAAAACAAATATCGATTTCTGTGCGATCAACCTAAATTTAAGGTCAGGTCAAACTGCGCGGCGTGCAACGGCGTACGTACATAGCGTGCGTTGCCTACGTGGGCGTCTTTCACTACAGCAGCGTACACTACGTAAGTAGTGAAGCATCGCAGTCTGGCCAACTATCATTAACATTTTTCAATAAACAAAACATTGCACCAAAAAATGATAAACTTCTGGCGACAAGGGCGATCAAGTGATTAGAACGACAAAGTCTTCTAGCTTCCATTCGGTAACTTAAGTTGCATGTAGGAACCATTCAACAAATGAATGTTTGAAATTATAAAGGTGGGAGTTATTCAACTTCATATACACTTGCTCACAACTCAAACTTTCAATTTACACTAGCGCAAAGCATGTACGTTATGGCTCTTGATTGACAGTGGTGTCATCCACTTGCCGCTTTGCAATTAGACAGCAGGGCTTGGCACGAAATGGCTTTCCAAACATGCAAAAAAGAAGTTCCCTTTGACTTTCGCAAAATTTTACCAGGTTCCTCTTGACTCTGAAGCCTAAACGTAGAAAACTTTAAAAAAAACGAAAAGTTGACTGAAAAAAAAACGTAAAATTGCATTTTTCGGCCACAAAAACGATATCCAGCTTGCTTACAAGCTACCTGTGCTTAACCCTGCTAGACAGGCAACTTTTACTCAATGCCTACTTTGGAGGGCATTTTGAAAAGTGCGCTATTTTAACAGCTGTGTCCTTAATCATAGGAGTTGGTTACCGCTGGATTCTGTACCATTTAGGTCGTGTTTGAGGTCTTTTCGGTCGTTAGGCAGATCCCAATGAGGCCAAAATAGCATGGCGGGGGTCAGCGTCGCTAGGGTTTTGCGTCACGCCTACTGCCTGATTGTCTGCTCTCTCCATTCTATTCGCTTTCTTCGCTATGCGCATGTGCAGCGCAAACCCTAATGCTGCTAGCGCCCAAATTACCCAACGGTTCGGCCTTATCTCGGTTAAGACAGACTGTATGCCTGCTAGGCTACAAATTATACTGTGTCTCTCGTTCTCCACACAATGGGATATGCACCCCCATTTGTTGATTCGAACGAACCATCTTGATAAGTATTTCCACTACAAAAGTTTTGTGAAACACAAATGTTATGTTACCCGCTACTTTGTGGCACGTAGCCTAGTCTATATTCAAAGGTTGAACAATGAGGGTTTTTACTAGACATTCAGCTCGTTTTAATGATACGGAGCTTCTTTCCACTCATTACTATGATAATAACCTTGAGGAAAATGCATCAAATACTGTCTCCCATCTCACAATCTGGATTCAAACTCTCTTCGATGTTTTTGTCTTCTGCTGCATCAATTCTATCCTATGAGCTGAAGATGCCAAAGCTTTCCTGTCATAACTCTGTTGTTCGTACGCTGCCCTCCTACTAGCGCACTTGATGCGTTTTTCGTCATGCAATCATTTGGCAAAAGGGCAGTGCACTTCAAAACCCACCGTTCAAAATCTCACGCTCTTGTTTCTCCAAGCCGCAGCTGGTTCAATATAGCAAGCTGTCAGAAATCAAACAAACAATAATAAAGAGAGAACAATGGCTCTATCTTTTAGTATGGATAGGAAATTCGCAAAATGCGCTGAGACAAAGATTATCCTATCTATAGAGCTGAATGTATGTCTGTGTTATGAATAGTAAATTCCATTTTCAAACTTATTCCCACCAAAATTCGCACACGTGCACTTCGAGGCGAGCGGGTAGGCTAGTTTCGTTTCGACCAACATAATTTTTTTGATTTTTTGATTTTTTGCAAAATTTGAGTTACGGGGCTGGGCGCTGGAACAGGGAGGAGAGCTGGCATGCTGATGACGAAGACAAAACGAGGATAGAGGACTGGCATATGGAAATAGGTACAGGGGAAGGTCGTATAGAATAGGGATGACCTTTTTCATAGTGTTTTGACAGGGTCAGACGGAGCCGGGTATGCCAGCTTGCTGACTATCAAACTTTATGCGTTTCAAAGATGCCGTTATATTAGGTCGGTCCTAAACTTCTTGCCGTTTTTGGACCCATGGTTAAACCACTTAGAGTAAAAATAAACAAACGCTCCAAACAATGTTCGATGCATTTCTTCGCCTTTTCCCGGTATTGTTTCTTAATAGTTCTTTGATGTCCGCTCGAATAATCATCAGAATCTCCAACCCAAGGGTTTTGACCATCCTGAATATGGTTGCTTTTTGAAATTTCCTTTTCAACTTTTGAACTAACTTTGATAACGATTGAAAAGAATAAACAAAAAGTAGTACAATAAACTATTTCGGTCTTTTTAACTAACTTTCCAGTATTCCTTGAGATGATTTTTTCGAAAGCCTTTGCTTTTGCGAAGTCTTGAGATACACCACATCGAACACTGCTAAGCTGAATTTGAAGCTTTCAAAACAAGTTTTCGCAAGCGAATAAGCGTTTAGCGGTTCGAAATATTGAATTCCGAAATTTCTGTGTACAGCTTGAGGCAAGTGTGAAAGTAGGAATTCAATGATTTTATTCACATATATCATGCAAGTCAGAAAGGGAAATGTTTACCGGAAGGTCGAGAAAAGCTGCATCGAATGAGACCTTGGTTCCTCGCCGTTTGATGTTCTGTGAGAAATGGGATCCAAACTATGGAATGTGATAGCATCGGAGAAATCGTTTTAAAAACTTTAAAAGACCAGCTAGAGATGCCACAAAAAAGTGCATTGTATTTGTTTGTTCTAAACGATTGTTATCACATCTGGTCCAAAATTTGGAAACAGGAATTCAAAAAAATTGCTGAAGTCAGGATGGGTAAAATGGACTGGAGATTCTGACAATTATTCGAACAGACATCAAAGGAATTTTAGCAGAAACATCACCGTTAGGAACAGGAAGAAATGCATCTAACATTGTTTAGAGCATTTGTCTAACTTTATTCTGAACGGTTTGCACATTCTTCTGAAAAACGGCACGAACTTTCTGGTATACACTAATATTTGCAGCTCCGTTTTCTTATCAATTATTTTTGACTTTCCCGAAGTAGACTGTTCGAGAATTTCATTTTCAACTCGCTCGGGCTTTAAACACAGGTGCAAAACACTCTTTTCAGACATGCACCCCACTCAAGTGAAGAAAGGCGCTGTGATGAAATACAAAGTTGGATCTGTGAGCAATAAGTGGAGGATATATCAGGCAATACTGTTCAGTGATTCGAAACTCTGTTGGTACGAAAAGCTGGGTATCACCAACCCACGAAGCTGGTGTAACGTAAGAGAGTTCTCAGATAGAATTTTAGCAAGATGTTTGAGTTTAGAGAGGCACTAGGTCTAAAGGATTCGTTTTTCTCAAGGATGTTGTACCATACATTTGCGTTGGCGCGATGACAGAGAGAATGCCAGGTTATCGTTTTCCAGGCGCTTACTTGTATTTTATAACATTCGCGGTACAGCTATCCCTTGTCGTTCAATACTCTACAAATCAGAAAATGGATGAACCTTTTATTCAAAAACAAAATTTTCTTCAGTCAAGTCTCCGGTCCTCCCAAACGGCTACTCCAAACACCATCTCGTCGGCATAGGCATGGATCGCAAGGCCAAAACAGTGCACTGGATTCTGTTTTCTTCTAATGCCGAGACTGAGTTGGTTTCGTAAATTTGATAGACTATTAAAATGAACCTGGCTCAGTTCTATAATCGTGCATCTTTGTCAGGTCATGGGTGACTGAAATTATCAGCACCTTACCGGTTGTAAATCAACTTCCGCACCGGTGTCCAATTGCTCCTTTAAGGCTCGTCCCCGTTCAACAATCTTCTGGTGAGTTCGTCAAATCGTTCTGTAACTGGAAAATCCGGAGAAAGTTCAAATTCTTTCCAGCCCTTCCCTTGGTACACTCTAATGGTCCTCCATCTATACATCCTTCAGGCATTACATATCATACACAGTCTTCCAGCAAATGGTGGGAGACCAACAATGGAAGAAAGTGGAACACTTCATTTGTACTGTATTTAAAAAGGCGATTATAGAAGTACCAGTTGCGACGGCGGCCGTTATGTAGGAGTCCATGATGATGCATTCAATAAAAGTTTTGGTACTTCAATGCTTACAGAAGCATTGGTAAGCCATGGATTGGGCTCGATGTGGGGACAAGGTGGAGGCAGCTATCATTTGGTAAGTGCATGATTACTAAATGTGATTCGTGTCGCAAATACAGAGTTTTAGGCCGGAAACTCCGTAGATAAACATCACTATGATCGCATTGGAGCAGGAAAGCTTGATAACCCCACTGCCGTCCAAGCTGCACGATCAGAAGTTAGGGTAAGTAAAATTGAATCTTTTTGCAAAGCTCATGCGCATTTGAAATTCAGTTTGCTGCTTCTGAATGGCTTTCTTACATCTTAGTGCACAGCCTAGTTTTCCTATTTACTCCCTACACGTTAGAAAAAAATAACGGGAATTTTTTTCAATGCTTTCACATGGTTCTTCGAATTTTCCAACACATAATTTTTACCATGCTTCATAAATTCAAAAAAAATCTCTATTAACTTTTGAAAATCAGATTGCGAACTGGAACGAATATCATACGATTTTATAAATTCTTTCTATCTGCTATTCAACTTTTCCTTACAATTGTTCTTCGCTCGGTTTTTGTTAGAGCTTATGTTTGAGAGACGACTTCGACTTTGACTATACTCGGAGACACAAAAAGCTTCAAAGTTTCGCTAAATGTGCACATGTTCAATTCCGGATTGCTTTGAGAAATGTTTGGTATTTGGTCGTCGGCAAGCTTAGAAAACCATATTTTTGACTACATAATTATTTAAAAGTTTGAAAGCTGACAATCAATTGCGAATTGATAAAAACAGCAATTAAATCAATACGGAATGACTTTATCCAATGCCTTAAGAAGTAAAACATCCCAAAAGAACAGAGATCACTATGGTGTAAGCCACTGCGTTGAGGTTTGCTTTTCTCTGATTTTCTGCTTTTTATCATGCTTTGAAAGTCAAAATGTCAAAGTTAGTTGAATCAGATTAGGGGTAGGAGAGAGTTTTTGAAGACTTGACTGAGTTTTTAAACGATATATCAGTGAAATGCGAACAACCTGTTGCAGTACAGCAAAGATTGAATAAATTTTTGAAAGCTCGTGTTCTATTAACTTGAATTATGGGCTCTTTTGGTCATCTTCAGCTTCTGGGCACTGAACTTGCACTGGTGTTCACACTATCACCTTGAGTACTTATAAGACTCAACTCCGCATAAAATTAGCCACCCTCACTTTTCGAACTTCCCTCTCAAGATTTTTTATCATTGCTGCATATAAGTATAAGCCACATTTTGGTCTCCTATACTCCTCATCTGCTGCAAGTATTGCCAGAATTAAATGAATCTGCGCTATAACTCTCATGATCTTAACATCAATATGAGCAAATGGAATTCTGATAGCTGATTGTTTTGCCTATGGTCGTATGAGGCTAGGTTTAGTTTTATTAGTTCTTGTGACGATAACGAGAGTTTGATGTCAATCTACTTCATTTGGACAATGCAGCTGCTGTATCCCGTTCTTATGCATGCGAGAAATTTACTCAGATGTTACTATGTTTGTATCTTTACAGGGCGATGAAGGCTTGGACCATTCTGGAGGCAAGTTTGAGTTTTTATTATTGTTCTCATTTACTGATTCAGGCCACGGTGGATTTGATTATCCTGGAGTCAACTTCCATAGTGGTGACTTGGGCGGCGGAGACCATAGCGATGGATTCCTTAGCTCTGGTGATTTCGGCGATAATGATTTTGACCATTTCGATTCCTATTAGATGTGCTAGTCATCCACTGCTTCCCATATCTGCACATCTCCATGATCCACGCGAATCTACATGCAAAAATCTCTTCAGATATCTATCATTTTTATGATAGTTGTACGAGATGATAATACAAGTGCATTATAATAGGACGTCAATCGTAATATATTGTTCAGTTTCCGACAATTAGTTAGCTGAAGTGAGAGAATTTCACAAGTGGCTGCCCCACCTGCAAACCTGCCTTATTTCGCAGCACTGTTGACGCGTCTCGTTTTCAGCATTTTAGGGTATTACGGCTTGTTCTTAAAGTTTAGCAGCAGAAGTACCGCAACATGATCTTGAAAATACAAGCCAAAATCACTGCCACGGTAAGGTCTATCTTTCATACATCACGAGAACCACCGTGCTCAACCGTCAAATTTCAAACAGCGATTCCATTCGGAAATAATTATACACATCTACTTGAGTAAGCAAATTACAGAGGTTCTTTTGAAGAAGTTGTGTTTTTTCTTGAAGTTGTGTGCTTAGCTATTGCCAGAAATTCTGAGGTTTATATGAATAGGCTGTACGCCTCTCAACTAAATGCTGCTCCAATGCCTTCGCTGGTGTTCACGCTGCTGCGAAAAACCTTTGATACATTTTTGGATAACTTTTGCTAATAATGCGCGCATGAAGCGTCACCTGTTCTTTTTAATCCAACGCCAGATATTAGGTCGTTTTAAAAGTAATTTCGCTTTTTTCAAACGAGCACCACATGTGACGGAACAAAGTTTTTAAGAGATCTTGGAGGCATTCGATGCAGAATTTCATTCTCTTTCTAATGGTTATGAAGATGTTGTAAAACACTCAACGAGCTTTCAGAAAGTGACCAAAATCTGCGACCTATGCTTTTTGAGATGGTCGAGTTTCATGATTTTTTGAAACTTCCATATCAATCTTCAAAAGGAGTTCAAAAAACGGTTCGACAGAGTAAACCTTATAGAATATAGCACTACTTTTTTCTCCTTTCCATAGCTTGTCATACATTTTTAACAGAATTTTAACTGATGCTACCGATTTCCATACATGGGCAGCTAAATCCTCGTAGAACATCAATGGAATTGCAGCTTGCGCACTATTCGATGCAGCATTTTCTCCTCTTTCTAACGGGCGTTCTTCATTCCCGATTCGTTAATTTTCGGGGATAAAATCACCATAACTCATTTTTTTAGCGAGCCCCAGGCTCTACCCGAGAAACTCGAAATTTGATATTTCGAACCCGTAAACCCTCACTTGCTTTGTAAAATTAATGCTAACTCATAGTACCATCTTGGTAGTCTCAAATTATGAAAAATATATCATGTTTGATGCGATTGTGGCGGAGATGGGCCTGCCAAAATCCGATGGGTCTGCTAAAAAATCTTTTAAAAAAATACTGCGAGCTATAAAAAAGAGAAAAAAGTAGTACTGTATTCTATAAGGTTTACTCTATTGAATCGTTTCTTGAGCTCCTTCTGAGGATTGATATGAAAGTTTTAAAAAATTCTGAAACTTGACCATCTTAAAAAGCATGGGTCGCAAGTCTTGGTTATTTTCTGAAACCTCACTAAATGTTTTGCAACATTTTCATAACCGTTAGAAAGAGAATGAAATTCTACATCGAATGTTTCCAAGATCTCTCAAAAACCTTTGTTCCTTCAAATGTGGCGCCCGTTTGAAAAAAGCGAAATTACTTTTGAAACGACCTAATATTATTGGGATTGCGTATCAGCTCAAAAAGTGCACTTTGTTCGAGCTCTCATCTCATATTATCATGGCCAGTCACTAAAATAACGCCTACCAAGTATTAACTCTAGGAATTTGTTCGAAAATGATGGAGGTAAGAGCATAGACGAAACCTCACGCAGAAGTAAGATCTCATAGTGTAAGTATTCAGCTACCTTTAAAGTAAACGAAGTCATGTAAAGCTCGCTAAAGCCAAAAATTTTTTTCTCTGGAAGTTCGCAACTGGTCTTCATATGGAGTATAGTATATAGCAGTGGCGGTCCGAGGGGGGGGGGCGCCCCCCCCCCGAGAATGGGTCGCGAAATTTTTGAAACTTATCTAATGGATTATAAAAATGTGCAAACGACTTGTTCATTTTTGTAAATAATTAAAATAATTTTTAAAATTTTTTAAAAATTCAAATTAGCCTTATAAAAAATTTTTTTCGGGGGCGTGGCTAACGCCACGCCCCCTTTTTCCAGATTTTAGGGGTTGGGGACCCGCAAAAATTTTGAGAAGTACTCGTAAAATTTTCTCGGAGTGCGTGGCACCTTCATTTGAAAAATTTTTTTTCCGCGCCCCCCCCCCGGTCCGAAATCCTGGGACCGCCACTGGTATATAGTGATACATATAGTAACAAAAATGTTCAACTTATGGCTGGGCCAGAGAGCGGCATCTACGGCGGCCTTGGAAGACGCACGTTCTTGACACGTAAGCAGCGTACGCCCATGTGCATGAAAATATGGAACGTACGCCGCGCGATTTGGCCCAAGCCATAAACAAGGTTCGAAAAAGTGACATTCTTGCATTTCGGTATACTTTTGTTTCTAGCAAGGAAAACATCCAGCAAACGTGTTTATGATACGGTACCTCGAGTCTGGTAGAATAATAAAAACAGTTCATTTGAAATTGGTGTTTATATTTGACTAGTGATACATACATGTGGTATATAATACATACACATATAAATGTGCAACTCCAAAAGCTTCTGCGTTTCACTGAGGCTCACTTCTTTGTTCTCGCTCAGACGCAGTTCCGGATGAAGATCCAGCAAATTCACTTGCCTGGAATTATCGCAACGCGGAACTTGAAAATCATAACAAAGCAAATGGCAAAAACATGCGTTACCCAAAGCCTTACAATTTGAATTTTGAAGAATGGGACAGTTACCTCCAGAGCTGAGACACAAGGTCTTACAGGATCATACGGCTCAAAGTGAAGACGGCGTGCGTACTCTGCCGCAAGATCATGGGCGATGGCGTGTCTAAGGAAACCCACTTTCGTTTGTCACTGTAATTCCGAAACCTCCGACCTATACCGAATGCTGCCTCGGAAATTCCGTTCTCAAACTCCCAAAAATGTTAGAAACGTCCATACAAGCTAGCCCTTGCAAGACCGTGCAGCGTACTGCCGACCAATCCAAGCGCGACTAGACAAAATGTCATACTTTAGCAATATATGTCAGGTTGATCAACAATACAAGCAATCCAAAAGTTTGTACACTACATTCAAAAAATTGCAACTTTTTTTGAATCTTGGTGGAATACTTCAAACTAATTTTGTTTGGAAGCAGAGGTCATTTGTTTCACAGCAATGCTGCTAATTACTATAGAGAGTGCGGCTCTTTATTTGAAAATAAATAGAGGAAGTATCCATTCACTGCAGCATCCAGCATTTTTGAACAGGGACTCAAAAAATGCTGGCAGTAATTTTGTTTGAGAGCAGAAATCATGCGCATCACAGTAGTACCTTTGCTGTAAACTAGAGGAGAAAATTTGAGAGTTTGAAGCAAAATGAAAAATCACCTTATAATCGCATTATTTGAGCTGTCTCCGAGATTATTGAAAGGTCCTTAGAGAGTAGATATTTATTCTGTCCCAAAGGTTTATACTAAAGTCTATAAAATTGCTTTCTTACCATGCCGAACAAAGTAATTTTTTCCATTTGCTTCTAACTCTCGATTTCACTCATAATCCACTCAAAGATATACTGTGAAGCTCATGCTTCCTGTTTTCAAGAATTTTTGAGGAAATTGCAATGAGATATCAAACTAGTTTCTATTTTTTGGAAAAAAGATGCAAATGAGATTTTGGTCTACCTAATACAGTCTGCTTTAATCGAGATCGCCGAACCGTCGGCATAAATTTGCACGCTCGCAGCGCTAGCGGTCTGCGCTGCATATGCGCGCTGTCGGAGAGAGCAAAAGGATCGAAGAGTGAGCAGAGAAGCAGGCCGCGGGCGTGACCGCGAAACTCTAGCGACGCGGATTCCCGCCATGCCAATTTTGGCCTGGTTGAGAATCCGCGGGGCAGACTGTACATAGGTATTTTTAAAAACGCAAAGAATCACTACACTACATTGAAGTTGATAAAACATCAACTAAAAGCTAGCGAACTACTACCCTCTGATTCAACCGGATTGGCGACTGGTGGATGGGGTCACGTCCGCGTGCCGCCTCTCCTGACTCTACACCTCTTTCGTGATCGCGCTCTCTAATGATTGAAGCTCCGCCTTTTCCATGCTCGTGATGGGAAAATGATTGGAGGGCACGCTCATGAAAGAGGTGCAAAGCCCAAGCATAAGTTTCCCGCCCTCCAGCGGCCATTCCTGATGAATTAGCAGCATCAGGGGGCGAGCCTGATCCTACGCCTCACAATTGCTCAAATCTCTCACTCCAACCTCCGGATTCCTCAACGTCAAATTCGTGCGGAACGAAATGTCTCTTCCCGCGTGTTATTTGCTTGAATTCTCGATCTTCAGACTGAACCCATCAACCCAAAATAATAGTGCTTGAAACCCTGCACGAAAATGCAGGAGGTTGCTAGTCTCTGCGAGGCGTAATAAAGCGTCGATAAATGTCACGAAAAATAAAACGAACGATCAGAGAAAATCAACCTTAGAAGTCGCTAGATAGAACTCTAAACGCGCCAACGCAAAAGGCAACAACCAAAGTAGTAGCCTTCCGGCAGTACAAAGTTAAGTCACCCGGCTCGCTATTCCGAGGAGCTGCCCGCATCGCGGAGGGCCACATTAACACATAGGCAAATTTGAGTTTTTTGATATTGTACCAGCAGAAATAATTAGCATATCTGTCGGCATGGAAATAATGGCCCATAGTAAACCTCCCCCCCCCCCCCCCCATCAATGCAACTCAACTGGTGCGGGCCTACGTTGAACTTAGGACGCCTCAGTCCAGCATCCAATGGCCTATTGATCAGGATGCGGATCGCTTTCTAATTACGATAATCATGTGTTTTCTTGAAAAGGAACCACTTGAGCCCGTTTGGTTAAACAGGTAAGCGGCAGGAATTGAAAGCGCG